GGACGAGCACCTATTGAAATAGATGAATCAGTCTCTAAAGATGACCACACAACTTGTGATTTTGGTTCCATTTCAAGGGGCCAAACTCAAGAATTCACTCCCGGGGCATCAGGTATGACATATCAACCAACAAATATTGATATTGTTCCATACACGGCATCACAAATATTAAGGAGTTCTAGTATTTCATCACTTGAGAATGTATTTGGTGGTTCTCGACCTCAACATTTTGAGAATGCCCCCAACTTTAATTCATCACCTGGGCTGCCAATGTCCATTGAGACCCCTGGTGTTGTTAATCATTTAGAGGACTCCAACAATGAAGTGGAGAATGCAAACGAATGTGGTGAACCATCAGCGAAGGAGAAGCGTAGGATTTTCCCTAAGCGTTGTAGGACTGGTACTATTAACATCTTTATTTTATTTTTTTGACATAAATGCTCCTCTGTTTAGTCGAACAACTGAAAATTATTCTTGTTTGTCAGGGAGTCACTATCTTTACCAGCATGGAAAAAAAACAAGCAACGAGAAACAAAGAACTGTAATTGAGAGGTTTCAGGTATCCAAATTTGGTACTCCTTGTTAAATTATTGTTTTTTCCATGTTTTGGAGTATGAGGAAATTTAGTGTTTTGTGTGTGTCTAAGGAATCAATCATATTTTCTTACAATGACAGTTCTCTTTTGGTTTTGAAACATGAATTACAGTCTTGTCTTTGCAAATTGATTTTCTTTGAGAAGTTCAGGCTTGTTATCAATCTGAAAAAAAACAAAAGACACCAACTTTTCTTGAATCTGAAGGGATAGTGATTCTGGATGTTTGAGTTTTTTTTAAGCTTTTGAGATGGTGAAAGATAGATAAAAAGTTGGGTTTTTTTAATGAGTTGTTGGGATGATTTGTTCATTTGGTGAAGTTGAGTCACAAAGATGGGTTTCTACGCATACCCATCTGAAAAGTTCTTGGATTCTAAGTTGTCCTGTTTTCCATATCTTGTCTGCTTCATTTGCTAGTTAGGTTTCTTATCAAACACCCTTGTTCTTCAGCATCATCTCAATCTAATGGATATCCTGAAGTTTCTAGTTCAGATGCTTTGCAAAGACAGTTACAACAGTTATTCCATTTACATGATTCTGGTTTGGATCAAGCATTTATTGATGCATTTCCTGTCTTTTTGCCTGTCTTCTACAAGGATTAGTTGAAACAGTGATATGTATCATGCTTGTTTAGTTACTCTGCAAGGACTTGTTCCTTTGACTCTCCCCTTCTGCGTTGACACATCGGAAATATAAGCTTCTGGGTTCTTTGCTGAAACCAAGTCTTTCTTAGAATCATCCTCTGAGTCCCTGTTCTTACATTTGTCACGAATCATCATCGAGTGCATCATCTTGTATAATTTTTTTGGAAGATACATCTGATTCCACCTCACTTGTGTTCCTTGTATTTGCCTTTGTACCTGTCAAACATCCCATACAGAAAATAAAGATAAATACCAGAATTTCACGATGGCAGCAAGTCCAAAATGTGACTACTAAAGAATGAAGCAGTTCACGATGGCAGCAAGTTCCATCAGAGTGGTTATCATGAGAAATTTTCTTCTCTTTGTTTTTATGTCTCCTCTTCTCTACACTGCAGATGGAATCTAAAGGATATACTAAAAATTTCATGGGAAAGATGACAAGTTTAATTAGTTACTTAATTTTAGTTGATATTTATATTCTTTAACTTTGAGATTCTTGGTGAATATAACTATTCAAAGTTTTCTTAATCATTTTTTCTTAGGTTGATGCAGCTTGTTGATATTCTGGATAACCCTTGGTGAATAGTAGAGATTTTTTGTGAAGAATGAAGCTACTAGTCATTATTTTGTAAAGCAACATGTTATATATATATGGGTGATTTCAGGGAGCATAACAAATCTCCTGCTGAGGTGAAGAAACAAATTTGTGGCTTTTATACATCAACTTCAAGGATGTTTTGCCTCATTAGCATACATTCAGTGCTTATTTCCTACTTATGCTCCTGCTGGTTCTTTGCTTTCCTTCTTGTTATTCTTTTGCACTTCAGAAAGTGTGATTAAAAGATAATGCCTGAAATCTTAGTATAGCATCTCTTATTGACATAAATAATAGGTAGCTCATATATGTATTCCGGGTAAATAGAAACTATCTTAGGTACCACAATGCTTTAATGGGTCGTTTGGATTAGAAGCAAGTTATAGGGGAATTAGAAATGCATGGATGGCAATGTAGAGATTGTAATGTAGGGATTGAAATGCAAGGTTAAGGTTATAATACAAGAGCTGTAGTGGAAGGATTATTTACTCAATGGATGTTAGATTTGTTATACTAAAGTGCATATTAAAAATATTTTTTAAATTCTTTTGACAAAATAAATATTGGATAACACGTGAAGGGTTATTTTTGTCATCTCATAATTTTACTCCATATTATACCATCCCCACATTCTTATCTTGCATAAAATAATATATTGATACCCGCATAACTTAAAGAGGATATCAGTTATGCGACAAGAGAAGTGGAAACAAAAATTGTAATATAAATATCCTAAATTTTATGTGGAAAGAAAGAACGAAACAAAACATTATGCTAACACTAAGTATAAGTGGAGATCACTTTCTCCACTACTCCCAACCAAACATCACCTAAGTTCCTTCCGCCAACCATTGATGTACCTGAAATCTTGCTATGATGGTATATGCTCTTGAGATAAGGACTTATTAAAGCACCTTTGTAGAAAACACTTCAACAAGTTTAGCACTAATAATTGAAAGGAAATTAATATAAATGGAAATTAACATTAATAATTTTCCTTTATTAGCAATCTGGAAAAATTCACATTACATTAGATAACATAAAGAAAATTAACACCATTAGACATTGACCCACAATTATTCACTTAAATTTAATTACGATTGGGACATTGACGCCTATCATGTCCTGTCTA